CACAGAAATTCTACACATACCCACTTGATATGATATGAATAATACAAGTCTAAAATGCCCCTTCCACCATTCATCCCACATACACAAGGATGATTAAGGAAGCTACCAACAACTCTTCCTTATACTTTCCTATAGTCTCATCTTCCTTTCTTTAAATTACAATCACAAAGTGATTTAGATCAGAAGAACACACAACCTTTTTTTTAAAAAAATCAAGTCTTCATTAATGAAAGGCTTACAAATTCAACAAAGAAACAGTAATATTTAACATGTTAAATGGAGGAACTTTAAAAAAAATGCTTCCTTCCTTTTTTGAACCTTATGTACTACCGAGCTCTCAAGAAGTACCTTCTTAAAAGCCTGCCCCAGCCTCCCGACAGCCTTCTTATAAATATGTATAAAATCTGAGCTACATCAAAATTGCTGTGATGTGGAGGAGCATTAGCTACTGAGTCTCTTGTCTGAAAGAAAACCAAAGCAGCTGTCACAGCTGATCCCCTCCTCGCCTGAACTGTTTGGGCTACAGCAATCTGAAAACTAATCACCTTAAATCAGAGAGAAGCCAACACCTCTGTTTACTAAAATCTTGTGCCAGAACAATTTTTTTTCTTTAAATATCCTTCGAAAACAGCCATTGAAGTCACTACTAAATACCTTACACTTAAAAAGCTGCAAGGAGGAGCGGATTTGCAGAAATGGATTCTTTGGATGATGTCTTGTCTCCAAAAAGAACAGTAAGAGCTTCTTTATTCTTTTGGCTTAGAATGTTTAGTTTGGGTCTTCCTCCTTTCCTAAGGGGGAGCACACAGATTTACACCATCCCTTCCTAATGAGAATGCCTTTGAACTTCTCTACACAGCACTCCTCTACTTCTACCACTCCTTCACACAGTGGTAAAAGTGTGTACTTGGTGGGGCTGTAAAACTAATCTGTGACTTAAAAAAAATTTTTTTTAAAGAAGAAAATAAAACTAACCAAGGGTGGACATCCTAAAGTCAAGCAGCATCAGAAATAATTCCTCTCAAAGTAGCAGAAGAAATGCAAGAGACAGTAAAAATAAATTCAAGTTCTTGTATGCCAGGCACTGCTGTTAAGTACTTTATTTGTATGACTTTATTCAATCTTCCCCAAAATCCTATGAGGTAGACGGGAAACTGAGGTACAGAGGGATTAAGCAACTTGCCTTAGGGCACAGAGCTGAGAGAGCTATGAAGCCCAGGACCCCTGTGGAGGAAGGCAGAACCCAGAGCCAATTCCACTAAGAGCTACTCTATCTCCTAATCATCAGGTCAACATCACTCATTTACAGAAAGAGAGAAGGGAAATTAGTATTTAAACAAAATTACCCCAGGCTAGATCTAAATACTTCAAAACACAACTAAACTCAACCAACAAAGAAAAATACATAGGCTCCTTTACAAACAGAATGGAAAAACACTGATCATTCTGAGCAAATCTCCTGCTGAGTAGAAAGGCATGGTATATCCATTTTCTATTGCCCAAGCACACACAGATAACACAGCCAGTCACAGCACCTGGGCATCTCATCCTTTTTATAACTCCACTCAGTGAAACATGTTAAGTCGAAAGAGAGTCCAAAAAACAAACAAAATAAAACCCACACAGACACATTTATCAGGTTTTGAGATTTATTAAAATAAAGTATTAGCAAACAATATGCAAAAACAAAGTTCTTAAGAGTTATGGCTTTGAAAAGCACAATATAGTAAAACCTAATACATTTTTATAAGTATCAAAAAGGCAACAGAATTGAAGCATGTTGCTAGAACTTCATTTCCTACAACATAAACAGAAGCAGAACAAGTACAAATAAGCAGACCTATAGTGCAGCCATTGGTTTGGTCTTTATCATCTGCATATGAAGTATCTTTTTAAGAGAAGATGGGCAGGGGCATACAAACATCCAGTTTTCTTGATTACAATCCTACCCAATTTTAAAATAAGCGATTTTCAAAATGCAATTTTAACCCACCAGATCAAGAAAATCACTTGCCCAACTATTTTCTTCCAGAGTCCCTACACATAAAATATTTCATGAATAAATCAAAGCAACATCATCTCCAATGACATGAGAAGGGAAAATATGATTCTAAAAAATTCCTTATAAAAGTAAGGAATGTGGAACCATCTGGCCTCACTGTAGTTTTATTACAGTTAATACCAGCTCGTAGCAACAAGGCACTACTTACTAATTAGGGAAAAGAACCTACCTGTACACAAAATTCTGAACTTTTTAAGAACACTATCTTCAAATGAATCCTTAAAGGACAACGGTTTACGATGATTGCAAGAATTTTCAGAACTGAATTATTTGGACAAGAACCACACCGACCTTTTTCACTCTGCCATGAACGACAGAAGAATCGTGCTCTTGGATCTTTTCACCAAAACATCCCATCACCTGTTTTAAAGCAAATGCTAACCAGCAAGTATTGTATCATAAGCTCTTCCTTTAAAAAAAAAAAAATCTTTTTTGCTATGTAAAAATCCCTCTTACTGGTTTTTGTACACCATCCAATTTCAGGTTAACACTTCAGTTATAGCATAGCTGTATTTTAGAAGGTAAGTTTCTATTAAGAATAATCCAATTGATAAAGGCTTGATACATACTGTTACCTCTTATAACTAGGAAATGCTAAACTGTAATCCAGTGATTCCAAAGAACTGTCCAGCAGGCACACTGCTTATACAGAAGAAATGCCTTGAATCGTCACTTTCCATACCTGCATCTTCTATGAGCAGAAAACCTCCCCCAAGTCCTGCCTGTACCATCGAGGAAAATGGCTGCTGCTCCAGAGGAAACAGGCCTCAAACCTGAGATTACCCCCATAAAGCTGCCCTAGTTAGTATCCCAAGAGACCACCCATAAACCAATGTTCAAGGAAAGTCCCTTCCGTGAAAATCACCAAACATGCCTGAAACCACCCTGGTATCTACTACTTTAAAATATCCTTGCTTTTCTAGCTCACTGGCATAATGAGGACACATATTTATACTCCTAGCTGAGAGAGTGAGCGAGGATTTAATAAGACAAAGAAGGGCTCAGACCCTCTGAAAAGTTAACAGATCCAAACTGAAATCATCACTGGAAGATGAGTTCAAAATGATCAGAAGAGCCTTCCTTCTTAAGCATGAAAGATATTAATATATTTTAAGTGGGAAAGTGATAACAATCCAAAGTAATACTGAAAAACAACTAAAAAGAGTATAAAGAAATGGATCTAAGCTGACGTACAGATGCTCTCTGTAACAGAAAGACAGTACTTAAACAGGTACTATCAGACTTTTGGAGGTTCTCTGCTACTGGTAGGATTTTATTTTTTGTATAAACCTTCTCCTTCAACAGAATACTATTACAGGAGGACTGTTTCCCACAGGTACCCTTGAGGATTTTATAATGTGAGCCCCAGTTCTTACCCTGACAAGAGATTTCAATCTGAACACTTACTGATCATTTTACATCTTAAACGGACATCTCACTGTCAAATGTTATGAACAGCATAAAGTAGCTACATCCTCTTTCTGTACTATGAGGTACACAGCTCACTGTACTACCTAGTAATCTTACTGGGGATTTCAACTCAGAAACCCAGCCAATTCTATTACCACAGTTTCCTTATTTAACAATAAAATGTGAAAAATGATTTATATTCTGATGTATATGACTTGACATTTTGATTGATGTCTTCTTCAATCTCTAAAGAGAAAGTGTTAGCTTCAGTAGATCAATAACACGCCTACTAGTTGACATTCCATAACTTAAGCCAAGCAATACCAAAAAGACCATAACACTTTATTTTAAAGAGATGCTGATCAAATGCAACTTTTAATTTTTTTTCCCCAACCATCTTTCTGTTGCAATAACTCATTATTCAGATTAATTTTGATTCTAGGTCTCTTTCTGCATTTACCAAACCGGTTGTGATTTTATTATTTCCAGGCTCCAGTCTTTCCAGCTCACATATGTTAATATATTATACACTATAAAACATGATTGTTCCAGTGTTGTTGATGTTTCCATAAATTTGACTACAAACCATTCTAGAAATCAAATAAAATTTTAAAACTTCATTTTTCTGAAAAGGTTTCTTCCAGAAATGTCTTCTTTTCATTGGTCACTGGCAATTTTTATTTCCCATCCATAGATTTTGGGCACCCTTGGGAATTAGAGAAGCAGTTACACTGAGTACAATTTTCACTTATAATCCAGGCGTGTGGAGTTAATCACTTTTAGGAAATACAACAAGCTTATACTTTTCCATGAAACTCTCAACAGTTAAGAGCTTCAGTACTGTCCTTCATGAGACAAAATTCCTTGGGGAAAACACAGAAAAGGCCAATCACATGAAACCTTGCCAACTCTAAAGGCTGTGGCATGAATAAAAACAAATTTTAATTAACTCAACTGAAAACATCAATAAAACAATTCAATAGTTTCTACCAGTTCAAACCCACTGAAGTTGACTACATGTTGAAACCAGCGTGCTTTGGTTTTGTTTGTTTGTTTTTTTTCTTATAAATTTGTTTCAAAGATTGTGCCATATGCCTGGTGAGTAAAAGAATAATGTGGGTAGCTAGGTTCAAACACGGAGCAAGTAATTCTCTTTCCTGAGGCTGACACAAGTGGAAGATGAAGAATGCATGTCATGTAGAACTTACGTTTAAGGCACAGGTGAGGGTCAGAAAGGATCCTTTTACCCAACAAAGGACCATGAACCGAAACACATATGGCGCCTCACCCAAAGAAACTAAAGCCACCCACTGGCCGCACTTTGTAAAAGCAATAAATAATGGCACAGAAAACAAAATGAACCGCATTCTCTTCTCCTCAAAAAATGCATTTCTTCTTCTCTTAAAAGCAGAAAGGGCAAAGTAGAAAGTCAAACCAAACTAACATTTTAAATAGAAGACTGACATGGCTCCATATACTTTCAAAAGGCACCAGAAAAATAGCTTTCTCCCATAGGTACATTAGGTAATTTCTTTTTTTTTTTAAATAATGTCTCTGTTCTCATGCCATAACAAAGTGTCCATCTGACTGCTCTCTAGAAAATGAGGTTAAAAGTTCTTTACCCAAAGCCCTCCAGCATGACTGACTGAATGGGTATTTTAGAGTGTTCCTGTCTTTCCTCTCTTGAGGACTGTTCTGAGAGACTAGCATCCACAAAAGTACCAAAAAAAAAAAAAGGAAAAGAACCAGCACGCATGTTAACAGAGAGAACAGTCTGCAGTCTTTCATATGTGACTATTCTAAAGTCAACTATCTCCACAACCACGGCGTATTCATTCAAGCACCAGACCAGGAGCCTCAACTCTGGGCCAGACTGAAGAGGCTCTTCTGGCTACAGTACACAGGTCCTTTCCTTGCTCAGGGCAACTGACGCCACTCAGAGCAATGGGATTAAGTGTGTGATTTTCCAACATGAGTAACACCCATAAAGCAGTAGGAAATTTAAAAGGCCCCTTAAATTGGAGCTACAGAATAACAGTCTTATAATCTAGGTTGAAAATACACCAAAAGCTAGAAAAAGTGTAACTTCCTACAACTGTCGTCTACAAACTGCAGTGTTTGTTAATACAAAAGGGGCACCAAGGAAGTAAGGGTGAGCATCCAAGTCCAAGTCACTTGAGCGTGTTTCACAAAAGGTTACACTAAAAACTGTCACCCATCAAAGTGCAAAATAAAAGATTAATGCAGGTCAAAATTAGAGTTCTTGCAACATTGGCCAAAAGCAGCAAAGCTGAACAAGGCCGCGCGTGCACTGTCACTAGCTATAAAGTAGTACTTATGACAGATTCTGGGTAAATGACATATACTGGAGATCTGTTGTTTACAATATATTTTTTTTTTAAAAAGGAAATGTTTTACAAAAGATATACTGAGTGAAGTCACAACAGACTGACAAACATTTAGCTGTATTAAATGTAAATTTCATGACATCACCTAGAAAACTATCACTTTGCTTTTACCGAACACTACCTGTTAAGAGCAGCGCATAGTGTTCCTTCAAATAAAAGGGTGGTGTTGTTTTTTTATAGTTTCTTTTCAGCCCTTACCATATGATTTTATGAAACAATGAATCACACTTTCTTCACATTGGTAGGACAAAGAAACTGGTAAAAGTAGAGCTTCCATAGGGTTAAGAGGAGGAGGGAAGACTTTTCATGGCATACCTTCTAACACTATTATAACTTGTCATAATGTGATGTATTACTTTAAAAAAAAATGAACAAATAACAAGTCATTTGGGACAAGAAGGCAAAATTATGTCCCAATTTAAGCTCAATGCCAAACTTGTGAACTGGGGTACAACACTTACTTTGCATTTCTCACAACACTTTTGGGAGTTAATCACACGAACATGACTAACAAACAAATGTAGATTCATCACAAATACAAATGTATTGGTCACAATTATTTAGAAAAAAAAATAAGCTATAATATCTGTTTTCCATGTAAGCTCACAGTATCTGTACTGAAAGTTTCCCTAAAATTAAAACAAGTCCACTAATAATATAATTGAAAAGACTACTTCTACACTATGAGACAGAAGATATGGGGTTCAGAGGGGAGCCCATCTGAGTCAGGACTTTATCCAGCCATTGAAGAGGCCCATGAAGATGAATCTCAATCCAGCATGGAGTGCTGGTAACATCCTGCCGGTGATATTCGGCGCCCCAGCCCTAAGAAAATGAAAAGATATCATAGCAAATCCCTCTTTAAACTGTCAACCAGCCTAAAACGATTTTAACATACTAACAAAGAGATACTTTAACAGTAGAGACCACAAAACCAATCTCAGAATTCACCATGGAGTTAAAAGCAACGGAGTTACAGTAGTAAAAGAGATAGGATTCCCTTAATAGAAACCCTTGGAACGAGATATGTTTCAGAATTCTTCCTCTTTTTGAAGTTTGTAAAGTTTTGTACTTCAGAAAGTACAATATCTCATAATTAAAACACTATTATTTCTGCAGTGAGATACATTCTCACTTAATGGGATAAATAAAACCCACAAAGAGCCTCATATAAGTTCACATCAGATTTTGCTATGAAAAAGTTTTGGGTTTTCAGGTTTGGGATTTTTTTTTTTTTAAAGTATGAGGTAAGACACTATAGCTCTGATCAATGCATGCAACTGTAATTAAAGTAGCTGGGATGAATTAAACTGGAACACTTAGCTTAAAATTCTAAACAGAATTTTTTTCACATTTATGTGCCTGGATTCACCAAGCTCTCTGCTTTACAGCTTTCGGTAGTGCTGGCCCAGAAAAATAAGGCTTGGGAAGGGGGAAATGGGCAAGTAGAGACTAAACATATAAAAGTTATGTTTCTGGGGCACCTGGGTGGCACACTTCGTAGGAGTCCTGGGATTGAGGCTCGTATCCTTGCCCCGCTTCTTTGCATAGTCAGGCTCCCGGCTTCACCTCTGCTTCTCATTCTCCCTCTGCTCCTCCCCAACCCTCATACTCTCTCTCTCTCTCAATCAAATAAATAAATAAAATGTTTTTTTAAGAAGTTATGCTTCTATGGAGGGGGAATGCCTTTGGGGCTACTGATGCATAAAAAAGACCTATAGCAAAGCAGCAAGGCAACACTGGACTGTGGGTCTGAATGCCAACAAGAAAAAGCCCACTCAAAGAATTTCACAGTTGTTCTTCTTTGGCTAAACCCTTAAGGACCAAATGGATAGAGTACAAGATGCTTATATGTGTCACTAAAATTCTTCCCTAATTTTACTCACAAACCATCATCTTCAGAAGGCCAGTAAAATCAGGCCAAGAGCAAATGATAAATTTGAAAAGTTCTTTCAACTTTGCAAATCCTTAGTAACAGAGGTTAAATGCAAGGAAGATAATTTTAGTCTTCTGAAGAATTTTTAAGTCACCCCAGTGGGATCTAATAATAATTGAAACTGCTGAAGCTAAGGAACTTCAAAAGCAATTTTAATATTTCTAGCAATTCAGTCTTTAACCGAAGCTCTTTATAAACTCAGCCCCTATTCAATATCAAAATCAGTATCAGTATCATGGATTATATAATGTCCGGATTATAAAAGTAAAACTTAGACCTATCGTGTGGTTTTAAAGCTTTAAATTCAAGAGTATCATTTAAAAACCTATTAAGTCAGGTCAAAAGTAAATACTTTCATTTCACAAAGGCATTTTTAAAATCACAACCTAGAGAAATATAATATACATATTTACAGTGACTCTAATTAAGCTACAGGCTACAACCCACTCACCTTGACAAAACTCATTCGAATAGTACACATTTTGGTGAGCTCATACACTGCCTCAAATCCGTGGTTGACAGACTGAGCCAGAAGCTGAGCAAACTCTTGGTTGTTAAAAATTTTGAGGCTGCAACTGCTGGGAATCTTACAGACAGTGGTAGGATGAAAGCCGTGATGAAAGTTGCAGTTCCTACTCTGAACAAATATGCTGCTGTCACTGAGGCACTCTGCATACACCTCTCCACCAACATAGTACAGGTGAACACCTTAAAAAGACGAGCATTACAAGACTCACCTTAATACAGCAGTATAATGAAACCAAAGAGGTAGTATAAGGTGCAACCAAGAATACCCACTAACCTACAGCAAATGCCCAGCAGTCTGTAGACAGAAGCTACCACTAGAGGGCCTTACACTGCCAAAGAGAATCAAGAGCTCTCCAATGGTCCTTAAATAACTAGTAAGACTTAAGCCTCAGGTTTATCAGTTCTTAGGTTATTTTCTCTTTGCCAACAATCATTTAATATCTCTGTGAGAGAAAGCGAAGGCAAAAAGACCAAAAAGCACCTATGATCAGTCTTTTCAAAGAAGCACTTGGTGCTAAGTTAATTTAACTATCACGAAGAGACAACTGGCAAGATGCTCCGCTTTCTTTTTACTAATGGAGTACAGGAGTATTAAAAAAGACCCTAAGTCGTATATGTAATTTCAGGTCACAGGAAAAGACTTTAAATGGCAGATTTATTTTATTTCCCTTGAAAAGAGTGGTTTGGGTATTTTAAAAATATGTATGTAAGTAATATGTGAACACAGTTTCAATATTAAAACTTCAAATTATACAGCTAAAGCTGAAGTTATTTCCAACTTTTCACCACTACAAACAGTGCTAAAAAGATGATCCCTGTACACTCATACCTCATACACATGTGAGTCAAAGACTTATATTAGGCTATGGTACGAAAAACTATGTTTTGTTTTTTGTTCTGAGCAAATAAAATGACCCATGGAGGAAGGGATCCTAAAACTAGATACTAGGAAAAATGGGAAAACAGATTGTAGAATTTAAGAATTCACCAGGTAGATTTCTCTAAAATCATTCTCCTGCAGTGGGAAAACCAATACATAGAAGTGAGGCATTTCACCCACAAAATCAATGCCAAGTTAGCAAGAGTCAAAAAAGAACAGAAATTTCTTTTCAACTTATTTTTGGCCATAGTATTTTGCTGAATCTCTTCTCTAAGAAATCACATCACAATTATAATTGTACCTCCTGTAGGTACAAATAAAAGTTTACTGTTCGTAGGTAAAGGGTATAAGTGTACCTTCTGTTCTATCTAACCTGGACTAAGACTTTCTCAAATCCAGGAAACAAAACAGAGCTAGTGGCAAAAACTAAACTTAAAAGCCAGGCAATACGCTCCACCTGGGAAAGGTTTCCTTCCTGACCACTTGATACATGAGACTCAAGACATTTCACGGAGGTGGGAAAAGTTCCTTGTTTGTTGTGGCAACTGTCTTGTGGGATGAAATGGAAATAAAACCTAGTTACCTGAATTTAAAAGGTAGGAGGGGTGGTGATGAAGCCACTGGAGACTTGCTATCATTCAAACTGGACTTCTTAACTATAACCCAGCTCCTCCAACATAACAGGAATTGTTACAAGGCACCTCAACTCAAAATACCGTAATTAAAAAATTCTAATCCTTCACCAGCATTCATATATTTCACAAATATTTGTCTGTACTTACTATGAGCCAGGCACTGTTCTGGCTGCTGAAAATAATGCTGTGAACAAAGCAAACTTCTGTAAAGCTTATATTCCAGTCAAGAAGACACTCAAAAAATAAATATAGGAATAGTATGATTTCAGAGACTAAGTACTATGACAATAAGGATAAGGAAAAGAGAACTGATCAGGTCTTGACTTAATTCACTCTCTAGCACCTGACACTTGAGGGCAGAGCCCGTGCCTCAGGCTCGTGGTATAGATGACTTTACACAACTCACGGTACACAGTGAGCACAACAAATGACTGATTTCAACTGAACGCAGGGAAATGACAAAATTACCTTTTCCAATATGTCGCCTAGTGTTTTCAATTGTTGAATTACGATTAACATTTGACAACAACCCCAAGCAGAATCTACTTTTGTTATTCGAAGGGTCTGTGAATCCATCTACTAACACGCTAGTAGAAGATGCATGAAAAGCCTCCCCAACACGATTGTTTAATTCATAGTAGACAATTGAACACCAATGTTTGGGCTCTTCATAGGCAACAGGCTGAACATCTGTAAACAAACCAGACAGAAAAAATGATTAGTGAGTGAATAAGAAACCCAGGATTCTTTATGTTTCCCTTTAAGTGAACCCAAGCACTCTATGAAAAATACTTTCACATATTTCACTTCAGTCTTGCTGTCCTCTCTGGAGGACAGACTCTTCAGTAAGTGGTGTTGGGAAAAAAGTTTGGATCTTTAAAAAAAAAAAAAAAAAAGAAAAATCAGTAATGCCTTGAATACAATGATTTTAAAACTTACCCAAATACAAATGTAAGGATGGATAATATCACATTTATTTTTTTAAATTTTTTTATTATTGAAGTAGAGTTGACATACAATAGCATAATGGTTTCAAGTGTATAACAATAGTGGCTAGATATTCCTGTATCTTACTCAGTGCTCACCATGATAAACATAGTTGCCATCTGTCACCGAACAACACTGTACAATATTATTATATTATTATTCCCTACGCTGTACTTTCCATCTCCATAACTTACTTCATGTGTTAACTGGAATTTTGTACCTTTTAATCCTCTTTTCCTATTTTGTACTCTACCCCCTCCAGTAACCATCAGTTTGTTCTATGTATTTATGAGTCTAATTCTGATTTTTTATTTGTTCATTTGCTTGGTTTTTTAGATTCTACATATGTGTGAAATCACATGGTATTTGTCTTTCTTTGTCTGACTTCATTTAGCATAATACCCTCTAGGTCCAACCATCTTCTGCAAAATGGCAAGAGCTCATTCATTTTTATAGTTGAATAATATTCCACTGTGTATATATCTCCTTTATTTGCTTATCTATCGAGGGACACTCAGGTTACTCCCATATCTTGACTATTGTAAATGCTACAACAAAACAGGGGTACATTTATCTTTTCAAATTAGTGTTTTCGAAAAAAAAAAATTAGTGTTTCGCTTTCTTTAGGTAAGTACCTGGTAGTAGAATTACTGGATAATATGGTATTTCTGTTTTTAATTTTCTTAGGAATCTGCATACTGTTTTCCACGGTGGCTGCACCAATATATACTCCCACAAACAGTGCACAAGGATTCTCTTCTCTCCATATCCTTGTCAATACTTAAGTCCTTTGATACTAGCCATTCAAACTGGTGTGAGGTGGCATCTTACTGCGATTTGATTTGCATTTCCCTGATGATTAGTGATGCTGAACATCTTTTCATGTGTCTGTTGGCTCTCCGTATATCTTCTTCAGAAAAATGTCTATTCAGCTTCTCTGCCCATTTTTCTAATCTAATTTTTGTTTGATTTTGGTTTTGGGTTTGTTTTTTTTTTTGAGTTGTATAAGTTCTTTATTTATTTTGGATATTACCCCTTATCAGATATATCATTTATAAATATATTCTCACATCCAGCAGACTGCGTTTTCCTTTTGTTGAAGGTTTCTGTAACTGTTACAAAGCTTTTTATTTTGGTGTAGTCCTAATAGTTAACTTTTGTCTTTATTTTCCTTGCCTGAGGAGACATATCCCATAAATATGTTGCTAAGGCTGATGTCCAAGTGATCACTGCCCTGTTTTTTTAAGAAGTTTCATGGTTTCAGGTCTCACATTAAAGTCGTTAGCCTGAGTTTATTTGGTGAATGGTTTAAGAAAGTAGTCCAGTTTCATTTTTCATATGTAGCTGCCCAGTTTTCCCAACACCACTTACTGAAGAAACGGTCTTTTCCCTATTGTATATTCTTTCCTCTTTTGTCAGATTAACTGACCATATAAGCATGAGTTTATTTCTGGGCTCTCTATCCTATTCAAATGATCTAAAGTTGACCCTGCAACTTTACTGATTTCATTTCTTAGTTCTAGTAGTTTTTTTGGTGAAGTCTTCAGGATTTTATACACACACACCCCACATAATTTGCAAGTGATAGTTTTACTTCTTCCTTTCCAGTATGGGTGGCTTTTCTTTCTTTTTCTCGTCTGACTGTGGCAGTTAGGTCTTCCAGTACTATGCTGAATACAAGTAAGTGGCAAGAATGGACATCCTTATCTTGTTCCTCATCTTAAAACTTCCAGCTTTTCACCAATGAGAATGATGTTAGTTGTGGGTTTGTCATATATCATCTTTACTATATTGAGGTACGTTTCCTCTAAATCCACTTTGTTGCATTTCCATCATAAACAGATAATGATTTCTGTCAAACGCTTCTGCATCTACTGAGACAATTATATGGTTTTTATCCTTCATGTTACTAATGTATTATAACATATTGGTTGATTTAAAGCTTTGTTTCTTCTTTTACTAGATCTTTTAGGTGTAAGGTTAGATGGTTTATTTCAGATTTTTCTTGTTTCTTAAAGTAGGCCTGCACTACTATAAACTTCCCTCTTAGAACTGCTTATGCTGTGTCCCAAAGTTTTTCAACAGGTGTGTTTTAACATTTTAGATTGTTTTTCTAGCACAATCTAATCAAGATTTATATTTATAAAACAAGCCTCTGTCTGCATCAGCAACCTGAAAGACATATATGAGTATTTGTAAAATTACTCTAAACAAAAATACGAACTAAAAAAAACAAGTGAGACTCTTAGCAAGCTAGGAATAGAGGATAACTTCTACAATTTGATAAAGAACATTTACAGGAAACTTATACCTAACTTCATACTTAATGGTGAGGAACTAGAAGACTTCCTGCCAAGATCATTAACAAGGATGTTCTTACCACTCCTTTTCCAACACTGCACTAGAAGTCCTAGCTAATACAGTAAGAGAAAGGGTAATAAAAGGTATACAAATTGGAAAGAATAAGTAAAATCATCTTTGTTCACAGATGATATGACTGCCTATCTAGAAAACCTGAAAAAAAAAAAAAAAGAAAGACAAAAAAAACCCTCCTGGAACTAATTAAGCTATTATAGCAAGATCACAAGATGTAAGGTTAATACACAAAAGTGAATCACTTTGCTATATACCAACAACGAACATGTGAAATTTGAAATTAAAAATTCATCACCACTTATATTAGCATTCAAAATAAGAAATGCTTAGGTAAAAATCAAAATAGGTACAAGATCTAGATGAAGAAACTATAAAACCCCAAAGACAGACATCAAAGAGGAACTAAATAAATTAAATAGACAGCCCACATTCATGGAAAAGAAGCCTTAATATTGCCAAGAATTCAGTTCTTCCCAATATGATCTATAGATAACCAATGCAATCCCAATCAAAATCCCAGCAAATCATTTTGTGGATATCAACAAACCAATCCTAAAGTTTATTTGGGGCAGCAAAAGATCCAGAACACCCAATATGATACTGAAGAAGAACAAAATCAGAAGCCTGATGCTATTCAACTTAACATAAAGCTACAGTTATCAAGACAGTATGGTACTGGCAAAAAGAATACACAAACAGGAACAGAAGAGAGAGCCCAGAAAAAGACCTATATAAATACAGTTAACTGTTTTCTGATGAAGGAACAAAAGACAATAATGGAGAAAAGACAGTCTTTTCAACAAATACTACAACAACAGATATTCACATGCAAAAAAATTAATCTACACACAGACCTCACATCCTTCACAAAAATTACCTCAAGGCTGGTCACAGACCTAAATGTACAACAGAGAACTATAACAGTTCTAGAAGGTAACATAGCAGAAAATCTAGATGGCCCAGGAATATGGTAGTGACAACACCAAGGCATGAACCATGATAGAACTGCTAGGCCAGATTTTACTAAAAATTAAAACTTCTGCTCTGGAAAAGGCACTATAAACAGGATAAGAAGACAAGCCATAGACTGGGAGAAAATATGTACAAAAGACATACCTGGTAAAGGACCAGTATCCAAAATATACAAAGAACTCTTAAAATTCAAGAAAATAAGCAACCCAATTTAAAAAATGGGTCAAAGACATAAAGAGCCACCTCATCAAAGAAGATATATGCATAAGAAATAAGCATATAAAAACATACTCCACATCATGTGTAATCAGTAAATGTAAATTAAGATAGCAATAAAATACCATGATATACCCGTAAGAACGGCCAAAATCCAAAACAGTGACAACATCAAAAGCTGGGGAGGATGTGGAACAACAGGAATTCGCATTCACTGCTAGTGGAATATAAAATGGTATAGCCACTCTGGAAGACAGTTTGGTGGTTTCTTACAAAACTAAACACACTCTCACCATACAATCCACAAACATGCTCCTCAGTACTTACACAAAGGAGCTAAAAACTTATGTCCAGATAAAAACCTACAAACAGATGTTTATAGCAGCTCTATTCATGATTGCCAAAACTTGAAAGCAACCAAGATGTCCTTTTGCAGGTGAATGGATAAACTGTGGTAATTTCCAGATGATGGAATATTACTCAGCTCTACAACGAAATGAGCTAGCAAGGCATGAAAAGGGATGAGGGAGGGGCGCCTGGGTGGCTCAGTGGGGTAAAGCCTCTGCCTTCAGCTCACGTCATGATCCCAGGGTCCTGGGATCGAGCCCCACATCAGGCTCTCTGCTCCGCAGGGAGCTTCCCCCCCTTCTCTGCCTGCCTCTCTGCCTACTTGTGATCTCTGTCAAATAAATAAATAAAATCTTTAAAAAAAAAAAAAAGAAAAGGGATGAGGGAACTTAAAATGCATGTTACTAAGTGAAATAAACCAATCTGACAAGCTATATACTGTATGATTCTAATGAAATGACATTCTGGAAAAGGCAAAACTATGCAGACAGTAAAAATATCAGCGGTTGCAGGTCAGAAAGAGTGAGGAATGAACAGGCAGAGCGCAGAGGATTGTTACAGCAGTAAAACTATTCTGTATACTGTAGATATATTTCTGCATGTTACCAGTACGATAGTAGTACATTCCTCTCATTATTCATTTGTTAAAATCCACAAAACATACAACAGCAAAAATGAACCCTAATGTAAACCATCGATTTTGGGTGATGTGTGAAGATAGCTAAGTCTGTAAAAACGTACCATTCCAGGGGCGCCTGGGTGGCTCAGTGGGTTAAAGCCTCTGCCTTCGG